CTCAATAAGCACTGATGGTTAATGAAAGGATATCACAGAGCTCTGCTAAACTGGAACTAATTTGGCATCCCTGAAACTGGCTCTGGATTTTAATACAAATTGAGGCTAATTATCCTCACACACAACCACGGGGCTGTCTTTTCAGAACGGGGCAATGGCACAGGGCCAGGTTGCTTATATTTTGACGACACCCCCAGATCTGCGCTGTATCCCTTGCAGGTGGTCATCCATCGCACTCTCAAAACCTTTCCTGTCCACCCCTCGATGCTAGCTACACGCTGGCTTGACGTGCAAATCCGCTGAAAGGCAGTAAGTGTGAGAAATGAAATGCAGAAACGACTAACGCGTTTCTGTTTGGTCATTGGTGTTTCCTTTATTACAGATTGATCACTTTGGCTTCATTGAAGATGCAACATTCAAGCAGAGGTACCTAGTAGCTGACCAGCATAGGCATAAAGATGGCAGCCCAATCCTGTTTTACACTGGAAATGAAGGAGACATCACCTGGTTCTGCAACAATACAGTAATGATTCTTTCTTTTGGTCTACACACTGTATTGGTAGTATTTGGTGCACACTGTAGATAACTATGACTGTTTGCTATGGATGTGAACATGATCAAATCTAAAATCATACAGTAGGTACAGTATTTTAAGCACTGCTTTGACTTTGGAGAGTATTTGCTTGAATTTGGTAATGTAGTAGTTAAACAATCTGGTCATCTAATGATTTAGATTGCCATGAAATTTCAGAGAAGAAAAATATATTTCTATATTCTATATTTCCTGTTATATAGATTGTTTACAATATCAAACCATTCATAATATGTTGGAGCCATTTTCTCATGGCTTTCTTGCTGGTCACCAAGAGAATACCCACCTGGGTGATGTGCACCATCCATATATACACAGTATATATACACGATATAGTATCTGGAGAAAATTTCACTTTTTCTTTTGTTATGGATGAAGTGTATGTGTAAGGCCAGACTGTAGAAATCCAAAGTGTAGTTTTCCCAGTACACAAGATTAACATTCCTACTCTTGTGGACTGCTCCATAGGCTCTTTAATGGCGTGGATGAGTTTAATGCCTCATCCAAATGGCAGCTCCTCTTACGGCACTGTCCCTGGTCATCATGCTGGGACTGGTTTACCCCTGAGAGAAGACTGCCCACTAGTGATCCATGAACAGTTCTTAGAGCTGTAACTTGGTTGTCTCTGTATGGACCAGCCCTGACCTGGCTAATGAGATCAGTTTACAAGGAGATAACGCTGCGGTCAAATGCTAGAAGAAAGTGTGTTCAGCCTAAACATGTTTAAATTTCTGTTTCTGGGGATCCGCGTCCTGCAAAAGAACATGCTGAGGTTAATTCCATCAACCGAGAATAAAATAAGTGTTTCAGAATAACACAGTTTGGAATTAACCTCTGCTTGCTCCTGTAAATCCTTTTGCATTATAAATATGCTCAAAGCTCTTTTCAGGAAACATTTCTTGATGGTGAGTAAATGTGATTGAGTCCATTGTTGAGCAAATAGAAAGTAATGACTTTTCTTTTATCTACAGGGTTTCATGTGGGACGTAGCTGAGGAGCTTGGTGCAATGCTAGTGTTTGCAGAACACAGATACTATGGAGAGTCCTTACCATTTGGAGACCAGTCGTATAGTGTGAGTATGTTATGGTTTGTTATATCTGTACTGACCATCCCACTGTTGCACTGCATAACATGCTATATATATATATTTATCAATCAGGGTCTGGATAAGATTTTCTCAGTCCTCTGCCTGGATTATTTTTTCAGAAAGATTTCGTCTGCAGCCTTCTTCACTGCACTTAGCTGTCAGTGTGACTTAATGAGCGAAAAAGCAAATGGTATAGAAATAAATTTGAGCAATGTTCCAAAAATTCTTGATTTCTGTGATTTTCCCATTCCCTGTAGTTTTACATAAATTTTCTGGAAAATAAGATCTTGAAAAGTCACAAAATCATTCCAGTTGTACTAAGGATTTAATCATATGTAGGCATTTTGGGATAATGGCATTGATGGGTTTAGTGAGACAACACTTCTGTCCTTCTTCCACTTTCCCATTGTTCATCAATTCATAAAGTTCGGCAGTGATATGAATTTCAAGAGCAAGTTAAAGGAGAGGTAGTTTTAAGATGAGTTATACCTGTGTTCAATAATTTTTTCTGATGGATAATTTTTGTTTCACTCCATTCCTCCTGTATGATCTTCTTTTTGGCTTTTTGCCCACAGGATCCAAAATATCTGAACTATTTGACCTCGGAGCAAGCTTTGGCTGATTTTGCCGTGCTCATTGAAGAACTGAAGAAGACTGTGCCAGGTGCCCAGCAAAGCCCTGTAATTGCTCTTGGAGGCTCCTATGGAGGAATGCTGGCTGCTTGGTTAAGAATGAAGTATCCACACGTAGTTGTAGGGTGAGTCCTTTTAGGATTTTAAAAGCAAACTGTAACCCGTTCCTTGAAAGGTAGTGTTTTTTAAGTTGCATAACATTTAACGCGTGCTTTCAGAGTTGCAAACACTGTGCATGTCATTGTCCAGACTTTGCAGAAAAATTAGGTCTTTCATTTTAAAAGACCCAGTCTCTCTGTCTCATCCCCAAAGTGCCCACACGTGCAAAACCGATTAAGATTTTGTTTAGCTTGTACCTTCCATCTGGCCGCTGGCCAGACGTTCGAACTTGTAGCGGTGAAAGAATCCATTGGAGGCAGCAGAGATCGAGGAAGAGCCAGTAAGACATCTGCCACTTTGTTTCAGTGCCCTGGCCTCGTCTGCTCCAATATGGCAGTTCCCAGGCCTGGTGCCATGTGGTGTTTTCTACAAGATCGTGACTGACGATTTCTCCAAGAGTGGGAGTGGCTGTTCGGAAAGCATCAGGAGATCATGGAAGGCAATTGATAATGTGACATCGACAGGTAGGGCTTTTTTCCTCCTTTGCTGGCTGGCTGTGATCTGGGCAGAACAATTCACAGTTTCCAGGACTTGATAGAGCTTCAGGACGGGTTTCCCTCTTTGTATTTCTGCGCTGTTGGAAGTTAGGGAGGACAGGATACTTTATATAATCCTGAAAAAAAATAAGACTTTGTCTATGTACAGTATTTGCAAAATGCTAACTTTATAAATAACAACCCATCAAAATAAAACTAAATTAATTTTCTTTAAGTTAATATAAAACATTTTAGAATATCACAAAGTGCGTCATTGGTCCCCCCCCCCATATAGAATAATCTTACTGATATTTATTTTTTTGTTCATTAAGGCTGCCTTTATGGTAATGAAGCTGATCTGAAGATATTTTAGTCTACTCTTGATTTTTATGGTTGCCTTCTCAAATGCTGTTTGTTTTTCTTCTCAGAGGAAGGTCTGCAGTGGCTCTCCAGTGAATTTAGACTCTGCACTCCGCTCAAGAACAAGGAGGATGCCATGGCTGTAAAGAGCTGGCTGCAAGAAACCTGGGTCAATCTGGCAATGGTCGATTATCCGTATGAAGCCAACTTCCTTCAGCCCCTGCCAGCATGGCCAATTAAGGTAACAGGAAAAAGGAAAGGGGAAAAAATAAATAAAAGTAAAAATAGAAAGCTACTACGTGTAGCTGGTTTTAGATCTCCTTCGCTGAAAAGGTCAAAGGTGGATAGTATATGAATATATACAAATGCGTTAACTTACATAACAAAATAATGACTCATTCGTTATTATTTTAGTAGATTTGGGGATTTGGTCCAATTGCAAAGCCTTTGGATCTCTGTGGGTTGTAGTATTTATATACTTAAAACTGGTCTCAAACTGATACCTGAACTGTACAGTATTATTACTTTTTCGGAATATCTCCTCAATCTTTCACTTTTTTTTTCCCCCTTAGTCCGACAATCCTAATGAATAGCTTCAGGAAAGACAAACGCAAAATGGTAATTTTCAGCTGTTTGGCTTGGTGCCGGTAATGTATGCGACCCCTATGGGTGGTATAAGCGGTTTAGGCAGTAGCCGTAAAGAGGAGCTTTTTAATGACAAAGCTAATGTGATTATCTTAGTGACTGTGAGAGGAGGTATTGAGGGCTTACGGGCTAGAAATGTGTTGGCAGAGCTGAATGTATCAGTCTAATCCCATCTGAAAAGTAGGTGGAAGATGCTTTGGAGAGCAGTTGCATTTTTTTCATGGTGTAAATTGCTGGTCTCCAGTGGTAGAGCATGTTTGTAGCTGTACTCAGGCATTGGCCTCCTCCTTCAGTCACACACAAAAGCACTGTGGAGAAAACCTGTGCAGATAAAGTATCCTTGCCAACTTCAGGAATCCCCTTGAGACCGTGAAGCATTAAAAAATGCAGTTGTCTCTAACTTTTTGCAGAGAAGTCATATAAAAGATTAAATATACTATCTGAAAATGTTACCAACACAAGAGGTGACCAATCCGTGGGTGTTTTTTTTTTCCCTTTCTGATCTGTTTTAACGAGCTGTGTTTTTTTTTGTGGCTCCTCATATTTGCACTTAGGTTGTCTGCCAGTATCTTAAGGATCCATCTCTGCCAGACACAGCTTTGCTGCAGGGTATTTTCCAAGCCGTGAATGTGTACTACAACCATACGGGAAATACCCAGTGTCTCAATACTTCACAGACTGCCACGGGAAATTTGGGTTATATTGGCTGGTATTATCAGGTAGTGACTAATTTCAACGTCAATTCATGCTTTCAACATATAATTTGTGTAAAATTCAAAGCGCATTCTCCATGTAGATAAACCTTGAACAAATGTATTATCATTTGTTAGTAATAACAATCAACGTTTTCAAGATCAATTTTTGGTTGATGGAAACACATCTTTTAATGAAGTTGTTTTTCCTAGAATTCATAACATTGAGCAGAACCCGATTGTGGCAAAAAGCCTTTTAAGCACCTACAGTCATTTGTTTTAATTCATGTTTTCTCAAATATGTTCTATTAAAATCTCTGCTTGAAATCAGCAGTATTTTAGAATTGAGTATTCTAAAAAAAAAGTCTAATGCAAGATTTACAATGTCTGTAGTTACATTTTGCTTTCTTTAATTGACAGTTTTATTAACTGCAAGAAATGTTAAGCTGTTATCTGAACACTCCTCAGGCCTGCACAGAGATGGTGATGCCCATGTGCTCCGATGGTGTCAACGACATGTTTGAGGCCCAGATGTGGGATTTCCAAGCCTTCTCCGATGAGTGTTATGGGCAGTTTGGGGTGAGGCCTCGAGCCGATTGGGCCATTACTGTATATGGAGGGAAGAACATTAGCTCTCACAGCAACATTATCTTCAGGTGAATACCGAGAACACAAAACCTGTTCCCTTGCTTTTCACACGTGTTCTAGTGGACCTTGCAAACTCTTCTTCAGCTGGCAATCCTGTGAGGCCCATAAGCGTGAATTATGATGTTGATCTACACAGGAGGATGGCCCAAGATATGTAGCTACTATTGTAGTATTTCTGTATCCCGAAGCCTGGCTTTGCAATACTAAGACAGACTGAACTGTGTAAAATTATCCTTATGCATACTAAGGAAAAAAAATGTTGCTTAGCATTTGTTCTACTCTTGAATGACTGGAATATAAACTTTGTTTTTAAATCTTCTTCCTTTTCTGATTTTATTTTCTTCCTTTTGCCCCCCCCAGCAGTGGGCACAATTTTTACCCACTTGGGGTGTGTGTGTGGGGGGGGGCAGTATTCTTTTCACAATGAAAGCTTGAAAACGAATGCTAAAAAAGCTCCTTGAAAAGCAGTGGCTTTCTATTGTGAATTAGGAAGATTTAACAGGAGTTTTTTGGCCTGGCATATTCCTTTGATTGGCTCAAAGCCTGCTGCATTCATTTACCACTGTTTGTTGTTATGCTGCTTTGGTCCCAGCAGGGCAGGGGCTTCATGTTAAATTCTGGATGGAAGAATTCACCCCAGCCTAATATTTTCCGGTATACACATTTAAGTTAAAAAAAAATCAGAAGTGCTGACCAAAAATACAATGCTGTTATTATTAACAATCCATGAGTAGAGGTCAGTTCTATGTTGAAAAGTAACAATTAAGAAGCCAAATTCATTTTGGCCGTGGACCCTTGTGAACTGAAGAAGCCTCCGCAGCTGAAATGTTTTTTTTTTTTATTCGTGCCTCGCTGGCTGACACAACTCTCTGCTCTCACTTTTTTTATTAGACTTCCTTGTGAAGCTCAACCTTTACAGTTTCCTGAATATGAAATGTTTTCTATGTAAATACAAAGTGCATGTTTATCATGAGTACATTATGTAATGAATTCCATGTACTATTAATACAGGTTATACATCATGCCATGTTAAAGCACATGAAGAAAGGATAGTTGTTTCCAGTGCTGTCTGATAACTGGGAACATTTTGTGTGGAATTCTGTAACTAATCTGAAGTTTTAGATGCCAAATGTTAGGTCTAGGGATGTGTATTTTGATTAAACATCATTGATTGCTACCAATGGAAAGCTCATTTTTATGACTGGTTAAAATATGCTTCTTCACTGAAACCACCCACCTGCCATGTGATCGCTAGTTAGACTTCAGCGATGTTAAACAAACTGTCATACTGTCCCGCCTTACTTGAGAATGTCTTTGTTTTTCAGCAATGGAGGCCTAGATCCCTGGTCAGGTGGTGGGGTGACTCAGAAGATCTCAGGATCGCTGGTGGTCATTATGATTCCGGAAGGGGCTCATCACTTGGACTTGCGTTATAACAATGCCTACGATCCGCAATCTGTGCTAAATGCTCGTGACTTGGAGGTGCAATATATGAAGAAGTGGATAAAAGAAGCAGCAGATTCCAAATCGCCCAGTAATCACCTGCCTTAGGGTTATTAGAACTTAGCTTTGCAGTCTCAGGTCTATGTAATGCTGTGTTGGTTTTGACTTAAGTAAAGGTCTCAAATATCTGTTGGAAACAAAAGCACAGAGTTGCAGTCTTAAGAAGGAAACAACAGTGTGGCACAGTCATACTTGAAATTAATTTGCTTTCATGTTGGTGTTTGTAAATGCATAGATTTCACATGTGTTCAAGTCCGGACCTACACCCCTTACCAAAATGTCACCTGTAAAACAATGATTTGGCAAATTTTCTGTATAAAACTTCCTTTGTATAAGAAGGTGTAACACTGTGATGTGTTACAGTCAAAAGCACAGCCATACCGTCCTAATCTGTTTTCTCTTCTTCAAGGGTTTATCTTTCAATAGGATTTCTTTTCTGAACATTTCTTGATTGCACTTGTACTCTTTTGTGGTTCCTTTTAAAGAGACCGTTATAGCACATGTAGGGAATTGGAGTTGTCATGACTATTATTTGTAGGTTTTGCAGGCTAATTTGTAGTGTTTGTAGTTGTATACTGGCAAACTCCTTTGCTAATAGTATATTTAAAATATCTATTTCTACTACTAGTGTAAAGCACCGAGTCGTGTAAAATGTCTGAAGAACCTCAAGATAATCAAGGATGAAGAATCATAGTCAGGACATAATGTACTCGTGGATCTACTATGACGGTTAAGATGTCATCATGCATGTTTTCTATAATCTTTTGTTTGAACATTGCCCAGAGTTATGCTCATCACTAGTTTTATAGTAAATCAGGAGCCCTAAGTAATAGTCATAATGTACCCACTGGCTTTCTGTTCATGTCCTTCCATTGGCTGCCCTTTAGGCTCTAATGTATGGTTCATGGCTGTGGTTCATCACTTACCTGCTGAGTCCTTCAGAACATCCTGGTGCCTTCAGAAGAAAGGGCTGTAGTTGTGCTGCTTACTGGCACTGACTGGAGCTTGGTAATCTAAACTAGGTGCTCCCTTGATTTGCTGCATGGTCATTTGGAGTACCATCAAAAAAAATATGAATAAAAAGATTGTTCACAGTGTGTGAATTGCTTAGATATACTCCTGTTCATCAGACCAAAGGGCACTTTTTTTTTTTTAAACATTGGCAGTGGTGATGGTGCCTTTGTAAGGCATTACTTAGACAGCCAGGATACACTTTCATTTTAAGCAAGTTAATGATAAATTCACAGCCACACAAGTCATTCGTATTCAAATAGTGATGATATTGTTTTACTGAAAGGAGTTTATTGTAGTAATTTTGTACCGAGTTGAATATTTCTTAACCTCTAAATGGACAAATGCCTTCAGTTATGTTATATTTCATATTGAGATTTTTAATGAAAATTTAGAAGGGCAGGACCCTACCATTTTGTATACATTCTTTTGAGAGAATTATGCTTGAACCAAATCAGATTTGGGCAGTTTGTGCAAAAAAAATTCATTCTCATTGGGGGATTATTTGCATTCACGGCAGTGCCTGTCTTCAATTGGAATTGATGCCTTTCTTCATTTGGAGTGGCTCTTTTGAGAAGGCTTTATGTCTGTATAGACATCCAGAATTTCAAAGTTGAAAAAATGGCTTGCATAGAATTATACTGACTCATCCTCTTGAATGATGCTTACAATGATTATTATTTCAGTAATGCTTCATTAGGTGTTTGTAGCAAGTCATATATTAGATGTTTTATGATTATTAATCTGTGCCTTCTAAGTATCACATTAAGCATACTGCATACTGCTTAATGTGATAATGTTAGTCATTATAGCTCACACTGGCAATACAACTATTAGTAACTGACATGTACATCTTCAAGCATCACAACAATTTTCTTTTTCAGTCTTTAGAGCCATGGGAGTAAAATGCTGTGGTTTTTCGGATGCTGTTTAGGTAATTGAAATGATAAATTGTAAAGTTTTCAGACATCAGTTCAAGTTCATTTATCATATTATCCTCTAATACTAGATGTGTATTGTTCTAAAAAGAGCAACACAGATTTGTTCATGTCCTCATCTTGGATGATACAGAGTACCTATAAATTGTGTACGGAAATGGAAGGATGAAGTGCAATGTGGAAAACCATTAAAATGGTCACAATTTCATGTATTATTTTATATTGTTCTACAAATAAGCTATATAAGGATACCTGATACATGCCAAACGTCTTAAACTTTCTCAATGTGATTTACCTAAATCTGTGCTGTTTTTATTAATTGCATTTTTTTGTCCTTGCATTTAATGTTACTGCCCTTGTTTGAGTTTCATGATCGTGTCCTGTCATGGATTTGATTTTCTTTTCCTACCAAATAAAATTGTGGTCACACAAAGATAGTTTTGAAGATGCAGTTGTAACAGTTGTTCTTTGGAGTGCGAGAGAAGGAGCATAATCAGACCGTTAAAATGAATGTTGTCTTCACTACAGAGGAAATCCCCAAAGGAGCTTTTATGAAAGCGGTCTCCATGGCAACTATTCTGGTCAAAGTCACTGGCTGATGCAGAAATAGGAACTAGGTAACCACACTGATAAGAGTAGATTAGGGAATGGAAATGACAGGATCTGCTAATCATACCGAATGCATTGTGGGGCAATTGCAGCTCAAACAAAGAGAAATCGTCTTCTCATGGGAGTAACTTTTGACTGGTTTGAATCCTTCCTTTGTTTGCTACATAATGATTTCACACAAAGCAAACAAAATGGCAGGCAAGTCCCTTTCACACTCAGATTTTTTTAATACATCTGTGTTATTTTCCCCCTTTTCATATGAATGTCCAAAATTAGCAGGGATAATAACTGTTGGATGTACCTAATGAAAGGTAAAAACAGGTGCTTGTAGGAAAAGAGATTCTATGAATAATGTATATATACCGCTGAATACATAAAACCTGTTTTAACTTCCATTCTTTACTCCCCCTATAGTACATTGTGTTGAACAGTACGGTAATATACAGCAATCCCATTTGGCTTTATAGACATCATAAATAGTACTCACAATTAGTTCTTTTAGATTCTAAAACGGTGAATTCTCTGCTCTGCTTTCGAGTGGTACTTGTAGTTATTCATATTTGAAATCTGTTGGGTAGATGCAATCAAACACTGTATAAATTGAGGTTGGCACACTAAATACTGCATCATGAAGAACATCAAGCCCTTCATGTTCTTTTAGGGACTTTATTTATCGCTTGCCAAGTGCTTGGAAAAGAGAATCAGCCTGCTTTTGGCGGTTCCTTACAGGGTTGTCAGGCCTATAATCTTGGATGGAAGTGTTTGGCTTTCAGAGGATGAAAGAAAATACCATAAAATATCTGGCTTCCCTGAGCTTGTTGAATAAGAGCTAGGGAAGTTTAAGAAAAGGTCTGCCTCACTTAAGAGTTAAGAGCTGGAGATAGAAGGATTGTTATTTGTTACTATTATTTTTGCAGCACGTTTTATTCCCTGTTATTAAACAACAGTCCATTTTTAAGGATGACTCGCCACTTTGCGAATCAGTGGGAGACACTATGGGTATTAATTAAAAATTGATATTATAGTCATTCCCCATTAATTATTATTACTGTTACAGTTATATAAATTATATATTGCAGTATTTCATTGTACAGTATTATTATAAATTAAGATTTCATTTGTCTAACTTCATACATTTATGCGGGTTGCAACTAAAACATCAGTCCCACCACAAGAAAGTAGACCGTTAATTTTTCAACTTATTTAATTCTTATTCACCCCAGTCTTAGTCTTAGCTGCTGCAAATGTGAGTTCATCATAGTTCACGGCTACATCTTTGCCAGATTCTTGTCTTGCATTTTAAATTGAGTGCACTGAGGGTGGCGCTCACCAGGACAAGTGGACTGAAAATGGATGTGTGGCTTGATCAAGTGGCAGCCCGGATGTCAGGAAAGTGCTGATGAGGTACACTGGCAGTGTAAGATATGCAACCTCCCCTCTGCATGTGCAGTTAGTTTTTGAACAGTAAGCCTTCCTCTCCCTCAGAAAGGGTCTCATACAGGCTAGTGATTTAATAAGAAAAAATCTGAGAGTACTAATAAAAAGACTGGTGGGAGGTGAATGCAATAAATTGAGAAAACCTGAGTCATGTTGGTAACCTGCGGGATTCTTAGGTCACAAAGCAATTTACTGGGGAGCCTCGATGTCGTTAAATTGCTATATCCAGACAGACCATGCCCTTCGGTTTATGGCTCCCTGCTAATAGCATTATTAATACTATAGACAGCCAGCATGGGGGAGACAGAAGAATGGAGGAGAAACAGATGAGAAGTGGAGAAGTGATGCTTGATGTCCAATAACCTTTACAGTACACAGTCTAGTCAGTCAATTCCTTTTTATCAGCATGGTCCTGAAGCAGACTATCTGGGTTGTATTTGTTTGTGGAGGCAGTGTGCAGAGGGTTTATAATATACTTTACATGCGTTTCTCCTTGTCTGAGTTTTAGTGGTACTCGTTTTAATAAGGTGTAGTTCATTCCCCAGCAATAATCTTTAGCTTGACTGTTTTTTTGTACCCAGATACTTTTTTTTTTACTGACAGATGTTAATGGGATGGGAAGAAAAAAAAATTCCCCATGTGTTGTTCATTGTTTTTTTTTTCCAATCAGCTGATTTTCAGTATTTTCCTGTGCTGTTTTTGAGCTTACATCATGTTTTCTTGTAAATGTAATTAAAAAAAAAAGATTCCTACAGTATTTCGTTAGTGATGTTCCTAGATAAAGAATACATTAAAGAGGTCGGAAGGACCGGCAGGTACCAGTGTCAGTTTCTTGTTAAATACTGTGCACTCAATCAACATTTAACAGAAGTTCTGGAAGTAATGTACCACCACTCTCTTTGCATACCACCAAGGAATCAAAGAGTGGTCTATATTTCCGTTATGCACACTCATGATGTGTACCTTTCAAGGTTCCCTTTAGGTTAAATGTTAAAATTTCAGATTGTGACTTTGTCCCCCCCAAAAAACATGGGGAGGGGACCGAACAGTCAAAGTTCTTTTACAACTTTCCACAGGACTTTGCAGAAGTCATTAATTTAGTTGCCTTTTCTTTTTTGTCTGAAACTCCCATCAATCAGATTTCTTATTAGTATTCTGCCGACCTCTTGACCTGAGTGCTCAGCCCTGTCTGTGTCAGAATGCAGACAGAGACCACACACCAGAGGAGAGAGATTATGCCTCAGTGTGTCACATCATATTGGCCCAGGACGTGGAGACAGGGAGACTTGTGAATTTAGCAGCATAATCGGTCCCACTAGCATGCAAAAATACATATGGCAAAAGATGTCTGATGAGCTGCAGAAGAATCAAGAAAGAAAGTTTCCACATAAAAATATACCCCCCCTCTCTCTCCAGCTGTATGTAACTCAATTCTAAAATGTATTTAACTCATAAGCAATTATTTAAATTTGCAGTAGAAACAAAACTAACCTATTTATCTGAAAGCCTCATTGAACAGTTTAATTTAAAATACATTTACTGTAGCCCTGCAGAAAAAAAGCTCACATGCTACTTTTGATACTTTTTTATATAATGTCCTGATTCAACAAAATAAGTATTCTGGGTTTCAGTTAAAGATGTGCAGTGGTCCTGAGAACTTTGGTCATGTGCTTCCCTTCTTAATGACACTGATAATCTGCTTGGCATCATTCCTGCAGGCGATGAAATTACTGTCAGAGAAGGAGCAAGAGTGGATCATCTAGAAAGACATTCGGTTAAGCAACCTGGTTTCAAACAATTCATCAACTTATGTAATGTTATGCTGAACAGGTGCTAAACAGGATCTACTGAAACAAATAAGGGTAGCAACATAGTGATATTCACAAGGGGGAAGAAAATTAAGTCTGAGTACCAAAAATCTTCAGGAGAACCAGATCATTTAAACTTCAAGTCCAGAAGGTTGAAAATGGTGGTATTCTGATAATTCAGTGAATGCCTTTATAATGTGCTATATTGTCTATTGCACTTCCATGTTCAGTGAACTCTTCATAGAGGTAGGTCCATCTGATGAAGAACGCTTTGGAAGTGTCAGATCACTCCCAAACAAGAGATTCTTCTTTCGGTAAAAGGATACACTGGCAACCTATTCTATTAGACTCAATTTTAACAATACTGTTGACAAAAAAATTCTTTGTAGAATAATATCATCTAGCCTGACTGATGTGATTCCAGAATTAATTGCCCACAGAACATTCCATTTTGCTGATGGAGGATTTATACATTTACCCTAACGTTATGTAATGGTGGTAGGGCAACTCTTTACAAGAGTTCTTGAGAGACTGAACTCGCTTAACCCTTTTTTTTTAACCTTTGTGTAGGTGGATTTCTGTAATGTTGTTTTTTGGAGATTTTACATTATGCAGAATTTTTTTGGGGGGGATCCCACTGTAAGCACTTTAAAAATGTTGCATGCTCCATCCATCATCCAATTTAACTGCTTTTTCCAGTTCTGGGTTGATGGGGAGCTGGAGCCTATCCCAGCAAGCAATGGGTGTAAAGTGGGGTGCACCCTGCAGAGGATATCGATCCATTACAGGGCAGACACACACAAACACAGGCAAGCACACATTCACACCAGGGCTCCTGAAGGAAACACACACAAACAGAGGGAGAACATACAAGCTTCACACAGATAGCACCACACGCCCAGAATTGAATCCAGGGTCCCAGCACTGTGAGGCAGCAATGCCACGCACTGTACCACCACGTTATATTCTAGTAAATGAAAATGAAGACCAGAGTAATACAACAGGGAGGACAGGATAGAGTTTGTTAAACACTCAGTGACCTTCTTTAACCCATTTCAAATGGGATACAAGTACTAGCAAAATGTATCTTAACCCAACATGCAAAAAAAAGGCTGTTTCTATTTTCATAAACAAAATAGAAGAACCTTTGTGTCAGTAAAAATGCCAAAAGATCATCGATGTCTAAAGTATTATAAGATAAATCTAAAAGTGCAGGTTCTTTGAGGCTTTGCTTGAGCATACAGTCAGTGACAAGGCCCATTATATTGTGAAATACCATTTGCACACCCCCTTCGCTGATCCTCAAACCTGTGAATCCTTTTTTGCAGCTATAGAGGCTTGTTTCCGGAATTGGAGTGTCAGGCTTATTAATGTGAGTGACCAGGCAGTACAATGGTGGGGGAACATTCAATGTGGTGCAACTTAAATGTCAGATATTTTTCTGCTGATGTCATTTGTTGGACAAAAAACTGGACTAGTTTAGATGTGTGTAAAGTAAAGATGTGTGGCTCACAGAAAATATTGCCGGGTACAGGAGTAAGTAGGAGAACAGAGAATAAAAGCTTTTATGGACAGAAGTGTACGTAATACAAAGCTATTTATAAATAACTTTATTGATTTCTTATATATTAGTTTAAAAAGCTCATCAGATGATATAATAGGCACTTTAATCTTTATGAATCAGCACATTTTATAATGACACTTTGGTTTAGTTCTGCATAGACATGCAAAGCAGAAAAATAGTACTGTAAGTTGCGGGGGACAGTAAAATGGTTTCTATTTTTTACATTTCTCAGGTTATACACTCTTTAAAATTCTAGTTATTATGGACTTTGAATGAAAAGACACAGAAAGAAGAAGCTATCAATAGTTCTTTAAGTCTCTCTTTGTGCTTTTTGTGTAAAAAAAATGCTCATAAAACTGTTCTTTGTGGGCAGAGAAAAGCTTGTTTTTGCACTGTTGCTACGTTTCGTATTGTTGCATGGCTGTTTATTGTGTGTCGATGGCAGGCTGTCTGTGAGTCTCTTTCAGGGCAGAGACTTGTATTGGGCAGCAGATAATTAGATCAGTGCTATCAGTTTCACTGTCCCCTTTCTCCCGGAGGATTTACATGATAATGACAGTTTGTGCGGTTCACTCTTTCTCTTTAAAACGCCTTCACTTTTTCCCAACACTGAATGATTCACTACATCACCTTGAAATGCACTTTCAGAGCAAGACCAAAATAGAAAATCCTTGGGAATACTGTCAAAATAACATTTAAAAGAACCTTAATTCAGCAGTCACATTAAAAACTCAAAGTTGCTGTATTGTAACCTACATTCTTTGTAGAACTGAGAAAGCATAACAGATTGATTCAAGCTAGAAAACGATGAGTTCAGGAACTTCAGTTGTTCATCTTTATATGAAGCTACGGAAATCTTTTTGAAATTGCATTTCTACAATTTTTCACAACAACGTTTTAGTTTTATTTACTCCTAAATTTAACATAAAAATTGTACCTTTATAAGTAATAATGTTCTCTTTGATAAACATCATTAACATCTCTTTATCATAGTAACATCAGTGCATTAGTTTTGTCGGTATAATCGCAACTGAATACATTTTAAATACCTGAGCACTTTAAATATAGAAACTGTAATCAATGGTTTTTATTCAGCAACATTTTTTATAATATTATTGTTGTAAATAAAATGATGCAAAAATAAAATGAAATGGTACTATATTTCTTCAGCAATCTGAACATTCAATCGAAATAAATACAGTGTACTTTCCTGCCTCCACCTCTTTAAAATCTCACTGTAGACTTGGCACCTGGCCTTCCTCTTTTCTGTGAAAAGAAAAATCCTTTAGAGTACTTCATTGCAGGAACAACTGATAGATAGCCTTTTACAAACGATCAAGCATTGTGCATTCTCATTTCACTGGCTAGATAGGCAATTAGTACAAGCATTCTACTTATAATTAGCAGGAACAAGCCTAAGAAATTGCTATATTGCAGAAATACGTTAGTCATAAAAAAGAGCTTAGATTGCAATTACCAGAAACTCTGTTACTATAGCAATGCTAGTGGTGACCAAAAAGCATTTGGGTACCTAAATGATAAAGCAATTTTAATGTGTAGTACAATAAGGGCTGCTGAGTCTCTCATAAGTAAATGCTTTGTAAAACTTACAACTACTGATCAAACGTTCAATATCAAATAGTTCTCTTTATTCAAATGTTTTCTAGATGCGTGTAGAATATTTAATATATATATAAAGATGTAGCCCCTCTTTTGCAGAGTTCTTCCATGTGCTTGTATAAATCATTAAATTAAACTGATTGCCAGTTACAGGTAGATGATGCCACACAACAGTAAAGGCCCATATTATTTAACACCTCCTTATGACAAGGAGAATTTCTTGATAAATTAATATTCTTAGCAGCACAGTGAAACTGTTTATAATTGAGCCACTTACGCAAAATGTCAAGTCTGATGGAGAAGGAATGGCTTTGCATCTACAGTATGTCTTTGTTTAGATTCCTTGATTATTTATATAGTCACATTTTAAAGTCTAAATAACGTCAAAGATTTTAACGGAGGTGTTAGACCTGTCTAGATTCCCAATGTTTCTCTCCTGCAAAAGCGTCTGACAGCACACGTACACACAGAAATATGCAGGTCTCCCTGGTTCTCAGCTAGTCCTATGCTTGCAAATAAACTTCCTGTAAATGCATCATTGTTTACAGGGTAGTTTCAGTCATACCGTGGATTTCTTAAGGTCAACATTTCTTCTGGCACACTGAGTTTGAACTGCACTTTATTCCCCTTTAATTTAACAGCTCCGGCAGCTTTTCCAGTTAAATCGACTGTTCATTATTGAGCCCCATTTTACGAAGGGCTGTGAGGTGCAGTTTAATGAATCTCTGGCACAAAGCTCCCTTTCACTGCTGGGGAAGAATAGGAGCTATTTAGACCCTGTAGGGCTGTACGTCAAAGGCAGCCCATAATAGTTGTCAGGCCGGGGCAGAAATTCCCACTGATATGGGAATGCACAAGAAATCAACTTTCACCATGAGCAGATTAAGACACAATCGAGAAAAGGGAGAAGAAGCTCTGAAACAGTGGCACCTGTTGGAGTACAGAGATTTTCCCATAGAAACTGATTCTCCCACATGATTTTACAAACTCTATCCATTGATAGCAGTGTTTGGATTGAAGAGAAGGAGGCAGATTACCACTTGTCTTTCAGGCTGTGAAAAAGTCACTCCCAAGCCATGTTCTGATAATTTGAGTTCAAAATAATCAATGTCGAAAAAACATTTTCAAAAGCAATTAAAGTTGATGTCTTTCTTCTAAATGATTATTAAATATTTGAACTCTGGGAAAGGTCTTATGGATTACCTGTCGTAATTTATAAATATCAGTACTTATGTCTTAGATTTCTTGATGGTTTGCTACTCTCTTTTTGAGAGCAGACTCTTAATCCTCCCATGTTTGAAGAGGTATTTTAATGATAACCACCTTTCTCTTGGAGCTTTACATTTAGATTTTCTTTACTTTGGATTATTAGTTATAACTTAATTTTTGTCCGATCACAGTGTATTGTATGTGGTACAATATAGAGTACAGGTCAAAAATAACTCCTGCTCAAGTCTATAGTTTATCTATTTAAAGGAAGAAGCTATTTCGGATTTAGTTTACAAATAACTATATGTTAATGTAAGAATATTTCCCCTTTTTCAGAGGTCATCCCTGGAGTCTTGAAATGTACATATAAAAATAACACTAGAATAACACCTTATAATACAAACATTTATTCTATAATACTGAATCATCCCTGATGAGATATGAAATATTGTGCTACAAGTCTAATAAAAAAAGAATAAAAATACTTTGGTAATTTTCTTTTCATACAAGTGATACATTTTCTTGAATGTTATCTTTGGACACCAATTTAAAACTATTTCAAGAACTTAGAAATGTAATTCTAACATCACTTACATGGAGCTACTGGAAATAATGTGAATGTAAAAGAAATTATGCAAAATAAGCTTAGGTCCGAGCTGCTATGAGTTTTAGGATGTGATAAAGTGCTCCACCAAACCGTATCTGAGCTTCTTAAGCCATTTAATGGCATGAATTCAGGACAGCATAATAGGATCTGGATCTTTTAACCCCTTCTTAAATTCACCGGATATTCATTTACTGCAAGTCAAATGCAGTATGCAACCATTAATCTGCTATTCAAGAAAAACAGGGAAGAAGGATAGGAGACAGGAAATTTGGAAAAAGAGTTCCCACATTTAAAAAGACATTCATTGACGTTACCTATCTGACACGTGTGAGACCCAAATTGTATTTGTTCTAACGTGAAGAAAATTTGACCAAATCTGAGACACACACAGTTTAGGTTACATGTGTTAAACTGGGGAACACAATAAGTCAAATTACTCTAATATAATTGTTTTCTTAATTGAATACATGAACATATTATGCAGAATTCTGAATGCTAGAATCAAATTCTTATGAAAATACAAAAAATGCTTTTTGTTGTGATGACTGCAAAATGACTACAAGACAGAATTTTGTAAATCATTTTCTTAAAAAGCAGCTTCTGCTTGTTGTTTTTTTTTGTGTGCATGTCTGCAAGGCCTTCCCTCCAATCAGTTGTGCTACCTGTTGAAATAGTACCACAACATAGCAATTCTACTGATTAAAAACCCCATGAAGGCCTCCATTTTATAAAATAAAGCTTCAATAAATACAATCATGAACTATCTTGAGGCAGCTTTTTAACACATTTTTAAGAAAAAATTACTCACAGAAATTGAATTAGTGAAGTATGGTGCGGTATTTTTTTGTCTTGAGAAGTCACATTATAATTCAATTTAACTATGTGAGGTTGCTTTTGGTAGTAATGTATCTATATTTTTCATGTTTTCAGAACAACTTTTAAAATTGGAATGAGCGATTTAAAGAATTCATATAAAAAAGAAAATTCTCTGCATCTGTACAAACCCCAGTAGTGTAAATACATGATTTTCCTTATTGATGGCTTTCAGTTTTAACCTGTTAAAGCATCACAGCATAAATTATGTTTTACCAATCAGGTAATCTTTATACTTGCTAGCATAATGAAATAAAAATAAGAAAAGGCGCTATTCTAAGTAGCTATTGTTTCTCGTCACAGCAGGACTTCTTGGACAAATCCTTCTAAGATGCAGGTGGTCAAGCGTGAGCAAAGAGTTAAGTCCTGGGGTCCTCCAGACCCTCCCCTTTGATGTTCTGACATCATCAGTCCAGCCCCCTGAAAAATCCCTGAGCTTTCCCTCACACTGTCAGTTAGACATCAGCTTGAGAGAGTTTCAAAGTGTTGAACTGCAATCGCCAAGACCAAGGGTTTGTAATCCCACCCTGGAGCAAGAAAACAAACAAGAAAAATGTCCGCTTAGATTCCTACTTTTTTGAGGGATGCACTAGAAAGTGTAGGAGGAATAAGTCACCTTTTTACAAGGAAATGGCTGTTCAGGCTGCGATCATGACCCCCCACTTTATGCATTTTTGTTTTCCTGGGTCTGTCATGGAATACGAAATGGACAAAAGCTTTGACGGGGGCGTCCTGGGTGAGATGGATTGTGAAGGAGACTTCAAGGAGACCACCAGGGACCTTCTGAGCTTTATTGACTCAGCTTCCAGCAACATCAAGTTGGCACTGGACAAGCCGGTGAAGTCCAGGAGGAAAGTGAACCACCGAAAGTACCTGCAGAAGCAGATCAAGAGGTGCACAGGCATGATCACACCTGGGAGTGGAGGGCAGGAGGCTGTTAAGAGACAAGGTTCACCCCAGTCCAACCCCGGCACCAGCTTCCAGTGCAAACCTCCACCGAAGAGGGAGGGGATCCAGTCCAATTTGCAAAGCAAGAGCCTGGCTGCCCTTTTTGACTCGGTAAAGGACATCAGAGCGGAGAAAGGGAAGAAACTGCCCCTGCGACACCGCAACCTCCCCCGTTCCTTCTTCACAGAGCCTGCCAACAGCTCCAAAGTCACGTCCACTTCCGGCATGACCCTTAAGGACCTGGAACGAGGCAATCCCGAAGCAGCAGAATTTTTCGAACTCCTTGGTCCAGATTACAGCAACATGATCGCCGATCACGATGCCTTCCAAGGTGTGCCGGTGAGAATCCAGCAAGAGGCGGCTTTGGAACCTGGATCTTATGATCCTCAGCATTTGGTTGGGGGATTCTTATACACAGAGCCCTGGAGTACTTGCAGCAGCCCCAGTAAAAAAACAGGGATCTGCAGCTTAAATGTAAATGAGAATATGAGGACTATTCCGGTGCAGCCCCCTGTATATTGCCATTCTGACTCGGCTGTAACGTCGCCCCAAGAGGAAAATGCTTCAGGCATGCCTATGTTCGCCCATTTTTTCACAGATTGCTCCCTTCCACAGTACGACTACAGCAGTGGATATAACAGAACCAATTTTTCTTCACTTTGAAATAACATATTTATTGCATCTTGATGAACTTCCTGCTGTGGAAATAAAAAAAATGGAAAACAAAGTGCTGATTAATAACAACAAAGCATCAGTTAAATTCTGTCAGTGCATTAGTTTATATGCACTTAAGGTCTCATATCTTACACTGGCCTGATCCTTCATAACAATTAAATGTTTGTTAAATTGACAACCTCTTTCAATAATCTACAAATAACACCTAATCATCTCCTTGAGATTTCATTGCTTAAATCTTAGAAAAATAAGACATTTTTTCTTACAAGAAAAATGTGCACAGTCCAGTTTAAGTTTTGCTTCACTATGCTTGTACAATACTGTATTATGGGCCTATGAAGACTGAAAGTTGAAGGTTTCATGTTTTATGAAATTTGATGTGAATTATTTAGTATTGGCATTTTGAAACAGGAACTTGCTAACAGGTTATCAGCCATTTTATTTTTCCTCAGGGAGTTGCAATGGTGACCATAATTTTGTAATTTGTTGATTTTCATAATCATTGTCCCAGAAATACTGCTATCTCATGTAATTAATCTAATTTTTGTTTAATCCTTGTGCTATCCTTGTAATATAACGGAGTTGATGCCTTCTATCAAATATTTTCTGCATCACAGTGCATCCCACCTATTAAGAAAGAGCTGCAATGTTTTTCTTACATTAGTGTTCTGTTAAATATATTTGCAGATGTTATATAGTAGAGTTTTAAAGTTTTAATGGCATCCCATTATAGGTTTGAAGGGTTGATGTCTAAAATATTATCAGATGAGATGCACTTGACATTATTGCATAACTTTATAAATCAGTAAGGTGGTAAATTCAACTTACTTTCAAGGAGAAACATTGAAACTGCTGGCAGTAACAGCATGAGAGAAATCTACAAAACAAGAAGTTAAACAGTGGCTAAGAAGTTAACTGTGTTTCATCCAAATTTTATCACTCCAAGCTCCAGTATCTAGGGCAGAGCAAACAACAGACTGAGCCTTTTTCTACCTGTGTTGCTTTCATTAGTTAGTTGTCAACAAATATGATTGTCTCCTGAATGGTATACATACAGCAAAACTGTAGGAAGCAGACGTCTTCTGCAGTGCTAAGAGGCAGTTCATCCAATGTCCAGAAATAAAAAAGATTTTATTTGCACTGCTGCTCAGAGTAGATTGTTTTATATATCTAAAAAAATCCTTAGTAAAATAAAGCATCTGACAAAGCATTTAATGTTGATATGTTGCCCTTAAATTATTTAATATTGAAACCTACCTTTGAAAAAAGGTGAAAGTAGGAGAAAAAGTAACTCAACACATACTATTCGATGGAGTGAATTGACTAAGATAAAAGTCCTTTTTTTATTTTGTCATTTTAATTTGGAATATTAGCCCCATGAGGAAACTGTAAATAACAGATGAATTCAATTAAAGATGTCAATAATATGAAGTTTAAGTATGTGGGAGGCATAAAGCTGTATAAACATATTCACAACCCATTATATTTATTTATTAAATTCGGGCCCAAATACAATTGAAGAAGTAGAAAACAGTTTGTTCTATTCTAAATTAGTCTGTTTTAGTTCTTAAGCTGACAAGGATTGTCGTCACTATATTCTTAATTTGTGAAAGACAATCTAACTTCTTTTTAAACATCTCTCTATTCTCTCTTAACCATCTCATAACATAACTAATACTTGTTGCTCTGGCATATATAATTAGCAGATTTGATTTGCTAATGTATGTGGCTTGCTATCCTTTTCTCTTAAAATGTTTTTTTTAAATAAAAAAGTATGTTTTGATCAAGAAATGGAGGTTAAATAAAGAATGACTTATCCAGCCTCTGAGGAGAGCTACTGACACAAGATTTTTTGGTACAAGTAATTATTCAGCCCGTGTTTTCACTCCGTGTTTCCCCCAAATATACACCATTTCTTTTCTGTAGTATTTTAACGTATTTGAACTGAAATTTCAAAAACATAATCACTGAGGTTATTGCTTGTTAGAGAGTCATAGATGAAAGTAGACGAATGTCTTTTTCTATTGTATAAAGAAACAAGGCTTTGAATGGAGGTTTAGGATTTTTAAAGTCCTAATTAATGCTATATTTACCCTTTATGGCACTGTCTTCCACATCCCAAGACTGAACAGTAAACGTCCACCTGGATTTCAGAGAATACCTTGCAACACTTCATGAATGTACACTAACATAGGCTGATATCTCAATGTGACATTTAACCTAATAGTCAGCCTCATGTTATTAATTGACTGGGGAAAGTACATTAAGAATACATTGCGCTTTATTAACAGAACTATCTTAAAGCGAGAAAAGTGAAACAAAAAAATAGAGAAATACATGTGAATAATGATTACAATACAAAATAATTTATCTGAAACCATTCTCTCTGTAAAAACGGCATCTTGACTGATTGAATGCTTCTTTATGGTAATAAAGGAGTGGTATCTTGATTTTGCAAAAGTTATCAGATTTCTGCAGTTGCTCGTTATTCTTAATTTGTAGGTGGATTTAACTGTTTCGGAACCTGGAATTACTGGGCAAGAGTGCCAAGAGTGGTTTTGAACAGTAAAATGTACCTGTTCCGGTTCTGATGACTGCAAATTGTATCGTTGATTTGAAGACTTACGGTATCAGTGAAACACAAACATATGTGTACTGCTGTAATCTGATCATACCAGAGAACAAAATAAAGCTGGTCTTTATTTCCATCAAAGTCTGTTGTATTGTTGCATGTGAGCTTGCTGGTATTTAAGGATGCAATTAATGACATTAATGCATGCCTCCATGAAATCTTCACCTTTTATTTTCAGGTTATTGCAGAAATTACATATCTATTAGACTCATTGTACAAACGTTTATTAATCAGAATTTGCTTCTAAAACAGATAAAACCGAGTAAAACATTCCTGCTTTCATGTACCTGTAGATTCACAAAGCTTTGAGGTGCAAAACGGTTCTAGTGCTAACAAACCCATGGTATCTTAATAATTTAGAAACTTTAAGATAGAATACATATGATTTTAAATCAAACAATTTAAAATAATCTAAAAAGTTTTAAAATAGATTAAAAAATATTAGTGTTAATTTTTTTAATTGATTTTAAATAGCTAAAATGCTAAATACATGGTATTAAGCATGGTAAAATTAAATAGTCTATGATGCTTTCCTTTGATTTATGTCATACTGAATACATGGAATGATTAAGCTAATAAAAATACTTTTATTAAGAGCTTCTACTTGATGATTTCGGGCCGCTATATATATCTTCATATCTCCCCCTGGTGGTCTGTAACAATATTCAGTTTTTCAAGAGCAAAAAAGGAGGAGCATGTGGTTTAATTTTGGTAAAAAGCTTTTGCTTTTTCTGTCTAAAATTGAATAAATATTTTGTGCATTTTATTTTTTGTTTTTCATTTTCGTTTTATTTTTATGAAGTGTTTTTATTCACCATCTAAAATACTGCTACTACAAAAAGTTAACCTATCATTATTCACCAGTTGTTCCTTGCACAAAGATGATCTCTGTGCATAACTATCAAAATTTGATGAAAGCAAACAATTTGTTTTTTGAGGGATCATATCTTTCTTTAAAAACATTGTCATTGTACAGTTGTCTAAAAGCAACAGTATCTTTAAAACGGTGAAGAGAAACACAAAGATTTTCTCATTACCCCTTAACTAAAATTGTCAGATTTTAATATTTTACCTCTACAATTTTAAGGGCCACTTAAAATATGAATAGCCCTTCTGAAAAAAAATCAAGGTCCATAAAAATATTGCTAATCCATATTTCAATCATTCTTAGTTAAGTTGTAAACAACCAGCATTGTGGTTAAATGGTTTTATAAATGAATCTATATGTCATATTGTGTGCTATTACAGTTGTGCTTATCTGTAAGTAAGTTAATTACTGTAGTAACTGCAAATATCTTGAAGTTTAGCAGACCCCTTCATTGTAAAGATGATAATAAAAAAAGTACATTTAAATAATGTCAAGTATTTCCCCACACAATTAACCAGAAAAATTTAAGTTCTAACATCATTCCTGGAGACAGCCTATAACACTATGATTACAGTCTATGATTAGGATAAAATCTCTAGCAGGAAGCAGATTTCATGAATCATACAATAGAGTACATTGTATTTAACCTAAATAAATATCAGATTTCAAATGTGATTCCAAAAGTCTCAGCAGTAATTAGTAAGAAATTAGCTCAACAACACACACAAATCATGTGTTGTTTGTGTAACGGTTAAAGCTGGTATACAGCACAATGTTAAGTAAAAGTACGGTTCTTCAATTGTCAGCAGCTTCAGTTTTCATTGTTGTTCTCCTTTCCCCCATTCACCCGCTGCAGGAACAGATCCCAGTCTGGAGGGGTCAAGGGTAGATTTGTCTGGAAATGGTTCCAAAACCTGTACATGGGATAGGAAATGGCACCAACAAAACATTTTGTTTTTCTCATCGGGAAAGAATCCACCACCAATCAAAAAGGGTACCCAGAACACAGGAAAGTGAAAGTGAACTGCAAGTGAACAGTGCAGGAAGCAGAAAAAAGAACTAGAACAGCACTGGCCCAGCTGGAAAGCAACAGAGAAAACCACTAAAGGGATTCAAAGTCAGTTAAAATGCAGTATTTTTGCTCGATGCAAATCCAGTGATGATATGTTCAGGAGTCTAAAATTCCCTACATTCTATACTACTAGACATGGATTTTTAGTACAAGAGATCAGTTTCTAAATGTGACAAACAATTTTTACTGTCTGAATGCAGTTTTTAAACACAGCCAAAAGAATCACTTCCAATAGCAATGAATTACGTTCTGATAAACGTAGGAAGACGGAAAAACACAGTTAAGCTCCGAGAAAGCAGATGAAACACAAACATTCTTAGGCACATGTTGGAAGAATGCAGTGTGTTTTACTGTTGGAAAAGATTTCTAGCTGGCTGGTAGAATGTGGTTCTACAGACCTGTGGTGATAAATGTCTGGGTCTCGGCTGAGTCTGTTCTGGAAGCCAATGTAAAGATCATCCCATAATAGTCCATTTTTAACCACATGGCGCATGACTCCTGCTCTGTTCTTTATCTGAAAGAGTTTCCAAAGATATGCTCTTTGAGTGACGGCAATTCACAACAGGTGTGAGTACTGGGGGGGGTCATTATGATCTACTGTGGAGTGTGATCACCCACCTTAAAAAAGTCTTTGTTTGCTTAGAGTTTTTAGCTTAGATTTTTTTTTTTTTGCTGTTAAAAAACAAGACAGGATTTTTCCAAAAACCCCGATGAAGAGTTTCTTCCTGTATGTTCTGCATCTTTAGTGACTGGAATATCTTAAAATTATGTTCCAGTAGAGGTTTCATAGGATATTGTTATGATTTCCACTATATGTGTACTGTAGCATGTACAGTTTGCACCCAGGTATTAATCTCAAATTTCTGAACTCCTAAGCCATAATAAAAAGAGTCTATAAAAGACTCATTACACACTAAGATCTCCGTTACTACCCTTCGCATTAAAAAATCTTTGTATTAGGGCAGAAAATCAAGACAGCATTACTATAACTGTGACTATATTTCAAGATTATTTTACTATTAAAAGCTGGCTAACCTCCTTATAATTATTGGATGAGCAGAATTTAATCTTGTGAACCATATTGTATGGTGGTGGTGTGGCCTCAGACCTTCACGTATTTAGTTATGTTACTGGGAACTGGATTTCCCAAAAACAGCGTCTTTAACGAGTGGTTTTAATCAAAGATCTACTTTTAAAATTAGATCTAGTTTTCTTCCACCGTTCTAAATAAAACACCACTCAGTTTGCCTTAGTCAAGATTCACAAAATATGAAATTCTGTGAAAGATAAAAGTCTTTCTGTGACTAAGGTCAGTCCCAGGATTTTTCTCCTTCATTCTGTTTGAGTTCACTCATGAATGTTTTAAACAGTCAAGAGCTACTGCCAATGAAACAGCATGTCTCCTTTGCCGTTGCAGGTTTGATCTGTTTGAGACTGCTGAGATGAGCAGACTGCTGAGATAAGCAAACTGGTGAAATTAAAATCCCAACGTGAAAATGTGCCCCGGGGACGAAATACACCTCCAACGTAAATTATTAAAACCATGTCAGAAATCAGCCAATAATGACCTCTAGTGGCTGTCTCTCAGGTACTGCAGTTTGTTTTTCTTGCCTATTCTGCTTTCTTTCCAATTAGATATTCCTTTAGATCAGGGGTTCCCAACCTTTTCTGTCAGCTGAACCCCTTCAACCTATTTTATTTGCCTCAAGCACCCCCTTGAGATTTTAATTAAATCAAACTATTCAGTAAATGTAGATAAATGCTACAGCAACCATCTCAACATGCTTATTTTCTTCTTTGTAAAATGTTAATATTACTACTGTTGTTTTTCTTCTTATGATTTCATTGCTATGTATTAATAGGACTATTTAATTTGACATTGACGTTTCCATCACAATCTCACGACCCCCCGGTTGGGAACCCCTGCTTCAGATGATTAGAAATCTTTATTTAATGTTAAGGTCATTTTGTGAAGAAGCCTCATCTTTCAGGCATACGGGAGGCTTCTAAGGTATGCATACAGAAATCAATATAATAACGATAAATTACAGTAAATAACATTGTGAACCGGGTAATAAAGCTGTAATCAGAAAGGAATAGTTAATTCAGAGGCAAATCGGACCTGTCTAAAATACGCAGTAAAATCTTCTGTTTGGAGTTTGCGTACATGAGCGACGAGCTTTTCTAAGACTTTATACTGAGTATGTCAAACTAAATTTTCAAAAATGTAATTCAAACGAGTTTTATTTCGTTCGTATTTGTTTTAAATACTTGAAGTGGGTGAGTAGAATGCTTTATAAACTTTCCAAGTGGCCGATCAATCTTTTTGTGTCATTGTTTTATAATCACAAGATGGTCATGCACAATTAGGAACTCCAGCAGTGTTAGCGTACAGAGAAAATTGTGTGAGAGTCTAAGTGACCTGTAATTCCTAAAATAACGAGTGATTTTCCCACAGAGATTTTGTTTACACTTGGCTCCGTGGGAGCTGTAGCTGTAGCGGAACTACCACAGGAGGCCGCTATATTGCCTTCAATCTTTGTAATAGGCTACATGGAGAATTATTAACTGTTGGCGAAAGGTTTCATATTCTTAAATGTGTGCGCTTACACTTGTAAGGAAGGATGTATTTTTGTTGAGTGTTGTGGGTTTTTTTTTACTTGAAAAAGCCCTAGGATAAAGCTTCCTGGACTTTATTATGTAGCCGTTGTGAGTATTTGTGTATGCAGACTCTTAGGACCACCTGTTTAATGATAGGGTCTGGCACATATTACAACTAAAACGTTTGAATTTTAATAGGCATTATTTGTTAAGGTGTGTATAACTTAATAGGCTTGGCTTCAATCAAGTAATTAACATTAAATAATATTTGTTTATAATTGCAAAGCTAAAATACGAGCGCCTAAAACTAAGACATTCCTACAGTTACGAAGGGGAGGAATTAATGTGATGAAACTGCAGTTGTATTTATTAGACTTCTCCGTTCTTCTTTTATGGTGTATCCTTACAGTTTAAGTATGACATAATGTCCCTGCAATATAGGAAATGTGAGTTTCACGTGACACATACATGGTTTGAATTGATTGAAATGATTTGAAATGTTGTTAATTATGGAACTGGTGTCTTCAGCTGGAACTGATTAATGTGTACAATGTTTTCTTTCCACCATGGGCAAGCCGGCTGAAACAGTAGTCCTGAAGTGCCTAACCTGTGGTAATGGCGTAGGAACTAACGTACTTATTGATTTCCCCTACTCGAAGGAAACTGGCGTGAGTGGTGAGTGTCAATACTGAAAAACTCACAGACGATCCGACTTTAATCGGGTGCTCGTGAAATGGAGTGTGATGGTAACAATGTTGTTTTGAGATTTGCTTATAAAAATAAACTTTAACGTTACTTTCTGGTTGAAACAATGTCAATAGAGAGATTCACAAAGACAGTGGGTCATTATGCCCCAATTTCCCCTTCTAGCTTTACTCAGCCTAGATTATAGGACATTTTATGTAAAACTCTACATTTTATTAGGAGATATTTATTTAAAAGAAGAGGGTTGTCTATGATATTTTAATATCTAATTTTAAAATGTTGCTTTTTCTGCATCCTTTGAGTTTTTTACCTCTGATTTGTGTAGTGGTGAGGACATGGGGAAGACTAGCTAACAGGCTCTTACAGAGAGCACCCCCTACTGGTCACCAGCAACTTCTACTTCAGTGACCTGGTTTTCCTTAGATCTTCAGTCTTTCTGCTGACCTTGCTTAATCTCTTGAGTTCTGATGAGTCTCTAGGGTCAGAATTTTAACAGGGGTGCTGCTAACAAGCCTCGTCAGCTTAACAGCAAGTTTATCCCTTTATCACAGGACTACACCTATCTACAAAGAATGTGCAGGACCAGAATAAAATAATATAATAAGAAGTATGAAGCTATAAAGGCCATGTGTTATATTATGCCTTTGATATATAGAAAAGATACATCCGTGTATGAGTAAGAAAGCATGCTATTTCTAAACCTTGCTACGTACATTTGGAGTTTGCTGTCAAAAGAAACCTTTTGGCACAACATTACTGAGCATATCTGGCAGCTGCGCACCTGATGAATAGCTAGCAAACATCTCTGAGTTTTATAGCCTGAGAAACAAATTTGCTGTGGTCAATGGTGGTGATGAGGAAGATGTTTGAGTTGGCTCTTCGGTTTCACAATTGTTTGCTACATGCAAGGAAGCAATGCATTCAAGAAAAGAGGAGTTCTAAAATTCACAAAGTATTTGTCATTATAGTCTTTGATTATTTTCTAGATGACTGTAAAAAGGTATACGTTTTGTATAATATTTTATACAGTACATTTGCTTGCAACAGAATTAGTTGTTAACCTCGGATCTCTCGATCTGTTGAAGTTGCTTTCTTCCTGTTGTATTCATGGGTAAATATTTATATGAAGAGTCAGTTTTATGACTTCACAGTAGTAAAGCACAATATAGAAGAATTGTTTGTTCAGTCATTAGAAACATTCACTGACAGCCATGGAAATGATAGCAGACACTTTTAAAATCTTTGCTTCTATAACGCCTACCTCCTCATAAGGGTGCTCTCGTTCAGGCCTTCTGCTGGGGAAAGAGAGGTCTAGGAAATCTACATAGAAGTCGTATCCATCGGGAAAAGCATTAAAATCCTCATCTGTTTCGATCACCTGAAACAATTTTGTGATTGTTAGGTACCTTGGTATCTTACAAAAAATAGACATTCGGGGAAAAACAACAACCCTAAAACCCTTTTCATCAAGTGTTCATTTAAAAGAGGCTCATCTGAAAGACCAAAGCCAGGAGGAAAAAATAAAATAACTTGGGTATCATTGCTTTCTAAAGAGAAAAAAAATGTTTCAACTTATTTTGATATATAATATATATATATAAGAATTAAGAAACTTATGGTAACATTTGGATGTTATTTATAGTGCTTTGTATAGCTGATGGTTTGTTATTGATCTGGAAATACTGTATTTTCACTTTAGCTGTAGAAACCTGTCTCTGTTGTGGTTACTTTTCTTCTGCTGTTTGGACATTTGCTTCTATTGTTTTCACATTTCTTTTTTGCAATATGGTGACTAGGATTGTGTGTAAGATCTAAGTGGGATATGACAAAGACAGTTTGCAATTCCAGCATTACATTCCTTGAAGTGTTACGGTCACCATCCTCTCCTATAGAGGGCTCTTCAACCTCCTCACGTTAGTCTTTAGGTTATTACAGGGTATCTGCATTATTTCCTGGTGTGCCTTGTTTTAGCTTCCCTATTTAGGTTTACTCCTTCCTGCCTTTGGGGCTCAGCTTTGGTACACGGTAGCTTGATGGCTCGCCTAGTACCTGGTCGCCCCATGTTTGTGGCCTGAGGGCACAGAACCATTAATGCTTCTTGATCCACTGAGGCAGGGGCTTGGAAGGGAGCCCCGTATTTCCTGGATTCTTGTGTCGTCTGTGTTCCTGTTTGTCTACGTCTCCTGATGGATCTCAATGGACTTATGGACTGCTTCCTGACTCCCCTTTGAACCGCCTTGGATATGTTTGCCTTTGGATATTCCCCACACTTGTGCATGAACTTCCCTACTTCACTGTGATCACCAATAAACCCTGTGTGTCTCCCCTGAACCTAAATATCATCCTCCACGGGAGACCAACCCGGCTTCCGTGACACTAAGGGCTAATTGCAACAAACTGAAATCTGTATATAGCTGGGGATGATGCAGTGTTTACTATGCAGCTCTGTATTCAATCTGCAAGTCTGTTGCTATTGACCCAAAATATATTTACAGCATATCTAAACTGCTGATGGAAACTGATACAAGCACATACCCGTACAACTAGATCATAGTTATTAAACCCTGCCCATTGGAAGTAAAAATGTATCCACTCTTTGTGTTGGAAGATCTTTGCTTTGATAGCAGAGTTTATCTCATCCAAATAAAGTTGAAACTCCCAGCTGTCCTTGTACAACTTTGTCCCAGCAGGTGGGTCAAATATGGCTTTACTGTAATAAAGACAAACAAAAATTTCAACACACCCACAGTATATCATCCTTGTGTCCATTAAAAACACATCTACACCAGGAGTTTCCAAACCAGGTCCTGTAGAACCTGAAGGATTTGTAGGTTACAATTAAACCATCGTTTTAGATATGGAACAATTACAGTATATTGTGAGTTACGAATGGGTGATTTGTTGAGTTAAGTAATCTAAAGATTATTTAGGACAGAAACCTCAGATGTCTCTTAATTGAACAGATCACTTGCTTTATTCATTAATTTACAGGTGTTTCTAGTGTGTAGTACTCATGACCTACAGTGCAAGACTGGGGCTGTCCAGAAGAACAGTGGATTAAATACTTGAGTATTTGGGAATTATTGTCGTGGTGTAGTGGTTAGATGATAAACTGGTGAAAACTGAAGGTAAGTCTGATGAAGTATGCCCACCTGTCTGAAGAATCTTTCAGGATTCTGGAGAGATCCAGCACTGCTCCCGGTTTGGGTGTCCATGTATTAATAGATGCGTCCAGTTTTCTGATGAGCCTGTTGAGCTCGTCAGGGCTGTTTTTTATGTTTGTTTCCTTTATGTACCTAGAATGGTATTGAAAACAGTTTTTTTTTCTGTTTTATGCTGATCTTAAAATAAATTGTAGGAAGGATTTGTAAGATTCAAGCTTTGGAAAATGTAAAGATCTAAAAATCTGTGATTTAAAATAAATTCAGCCATGTACAGCTCATTCTGTACAACCTTATCTTATCTATTTCATATATCTCCCACTTATGTATGGTCCAAATGCATTCATCTGTACTTCATGCTACAGTATACTATACTATCTTATTTATTTCTGTATGCTGAAAAAATAAATGTTACCTGTGTTGTCTTGTCAATTAAGTGTCATTACACACGTTGTATGAAAAAGATTCTCAATTCCCTAATAATTTGTAATTTGTTCCAGTTTAAGTGATATTTCCTTTGATTCTCAGCCTATAAATCTGATTAATTGCATTATATATGATGATATAATAACATACATATTTTTCTATATATAAACTGCTTCTGAATAGTGACTCCCAAAAAAGTATTTCTGCAGATTCATGTTTATTATAGGTCCCATATCATAAAAATGTGAAATTACAGTACATTTTACCTGTACTTTTGCACATTGTTTGTACATTACCACTTCTCAAAGAACAAGTTATAGGAAATGTTTCATTAGTATGTATGTAAATTCTTATACTTTCAAGGTAGCCAAGGTGGAACACTGAAAACCCATATTGAATATTCAACAGGTAAGTATAACCATCTGGTATCTTGTTTATGTTGTTTTTATTTGTGGTATAAATGTATTTTAATTCCGTGATTACTGAAGCTTGTTCTGATATGACTTCATACTATAAAAAAAATCCTTCAATAAATATCTGTTTAGAAATTTTAGGCAAATGCATCAATTTGTAATGCATTTTGTACTACACATCAATAATTAAAATGCAACACATTCCATATTTACTAAAACAATATGCATCAGAATATGTAAAAAAGTATATTAAATAGCAATTGGATGCAAACTGCCTATATACTCATAGCAAAAATGTATAATCAGATACTGTGATTTAATATGTAACTCTAATGGTATTCAGGGAATTGTAATATTACAGTATTTTGTCCACTTTCAGTACTTGTAGTCTTAGAATGAGTAGATCAAAAGTTGTAAGAAAGCCTCATCTGTTAAGTAAACTCTCTTAACCGTTTCATTTAACATGCAACTAGAAGGACATCTGGAGACATCATTTCATGGTTCTTGAAACCCTCGCCCTACAGTGGCTTAAAACACGCACTCGTTTAAATACCATGGTAACGTATTTTCCTGCTGATTGTTAAATTTGCTTCTAGAAGATATCCAGTTAACAGCTTTTGGAAATGTATCTCTTCTATCAGTGGTTTTGATTGTTTTAGACTCATAGTTTTTGGTTTGAGGAAGATTTTCAAATCTGATGAATAGAGGGTTTCAGAAGTGGTCTACAGAATTGCTCAGCAGTTACCCCAGCTAGGGTTAGGGTTAGCATTCCCACATTACTAAGATACTTTTTTATGCTCCGTGCTGGATTTGGGGGCCCAAGTGAAGGATGAGTGATCATTTGTTCCTATCTTCACTTTGATTTTTGGATAGTTTGGGCTGCTTGTATTGTATATTGCCTAGTTCATTGCTTGTAGTCCAAAACTGAGCAGATGAAAAGTATAAGAGAAAAAGGAATAAATTGATTACAAGTGTATTGTCAAATAATATCTGATCCAACAGAACATCTACAATACATGAACAATGTGAAATCTGTTTCTTGTCAAACATATAGATATGTAATTCCAAAATGGACACTGATAGTCTGATATGAAGAAATGTCAAATATGCTTTACTTGACTTCTGTAATAGTGTGTTTTCCTTTTTCTACATAAGTTATATTGTGACATAGGACATGACATAGGAATTAAATAAATACCTGTCCGATGGATGTGCTTCCACAAAATATCCTGCAAATGGACAATATAACTTGGGCTGTAAGTGTTTCACCAGCTGTGCCTTGTAGTTTAGCAGCTTCTTTCGTTCATTCTTTATAAACTCTGCCTTCCATTCCTCTGTAAACATGTAAGTCTCAAGTTAGTAGTATCTGTGACACATTGCAGCAATTATTTTACTTAGGTTTGGTGAGTAAGTAGGGGAACCATGGTGTAACTGTAACATTCTCACCTCACAAGAAACAAGGAATTGCACATAATAATGTGCAGTTTCCTGCTGGAAGGTTGTACTGTATGTAGGTGCTGTGCAAGTAACTGCAATTTTAATGCCCAGTAACACAGTTCCGCTTCATACCTGTGTATTTTCCCCCAGTGAAGGTCATGGGAAATCCGGAAGCACCTCCTGCAAAGTCACTCATGAGGACATCCACATTGCGTGGCAAGATTCCTCCATTCGGTCTCGTGCAGTCCACGGTGTTCAGAATCAGGTGACCTAGATCGAAACAAGTCCTTCTTTTCAGCTGCATCCTTCTTTGTTTTATTGTGTATCCATTGATGACCACACAAGGCCACGTTCTCATAATGACTAATCAGGAAATTGGTAATCATTTATCAAAAAGTAATCTTGTAAGAATTTGTAGATTACACGACTAATTGCATGACTCATGAAACTGCGTAAACATTTTCAAATCGATGTTTTTTGGGGGGTTGGAAGGCTTTTCTATGTGCTGTTTTTTCTTTAAAATTTATGATTACAAAAGTGGAGTTTTATGGTCCTTAAAATGTGCTTTTTAGATTTCAGGGGACTCCCCTTGGTTTTGTAATCAAATAACTACTTTAATGTAAAATGATCTTGCAAATCATACCTTTATAATCCACAATAATGCAAGTGTCCATTTCAGGATGTACACCATCCATTAGAATCATAAACCGCAGATTCTCATCAACCTATGATTTAAACATATAAAATATATTCAGGGAAAAAATGCAATCTTAAGAAAACAATCCATTTTAGTTTGACCCACATGTAAGGATTCATTGTCAAATTCAACTTTCATGGTGTTAAATGGTGTCAAAGTTCTAAATGGATTTTAAATACAACATTAAAGTATTAAATATATTTCATATTGCAGGATTAGGTAAACAGATCTTTCCAGTTTAGACAGGCTAATGGATTTTAATGTGTGATCAGCCTAGGAAGTCAGAGACAACACAGTTTGTGTGAGGTTTTTATGTCTGTAAATTTATGTCAAGTTTGTATTAGTTGACTTATGGAAGAAAGAAAACCTTCTTAAACTATGTCTGGGTTTTGATGGCTTAAACATAATATGGAACTCAAAGAAAATTATCTACATCACATGACTTTATTCTAGCAGAATACAGAGCTCTTAGCTTTAATATTTTGCATTTGCTCAAACGAGATATAACATTGTAATATCGTATTGTAACACAATAAAAGACAAAAGCTGTATTATCTTGCTAATTGTTTCTGATACATGTGCTAACCTATCCTCATTATATTCTAGGTAAAACAAGTGTTTACTGATGAGACAGGCATAATAAAATATACAGTACTTTGTCATGGCTGAATATCTGTGCACAGTAAGACCTGTGCCAAAGAGCCAACTTTGATTTAACAGAACAAACACTTTGACCTTACAGGGCAGAAAAAGCAAGATGAAGTCACCTTTTGCCAAACTCCAAAAGGAACCACATTTACATTGGTCAGCTTCACTCCACTTCTGTCCAGATACCAGAACACAGGCCTTGAGGTGTCTCCAACATATATTGGTAGATCAGGACGCTTGTCTGACAGCTTCTTTAGAGTGGGATAGCTGGAATAGGTTTGGATTATATTTAGGGAATTGGTCTCCTAAAGAGCAACCTGTCAAGCAACCTTTATTTAACAAGTGCTTAAAGTTAGACTAGCATTTTTCTTTTGAGAGACCATTGAACAGACACATGCTTTTCCAAGCTCTATGAGATGCATAGGAAGGAATCCGTTGCAAAGTATTCATCAAAGCAGATCTATTGGTTCCCAAAGTGGCTGAAAGTAATACACGTATATCATCTGTCAAAAGATAAGAAGTTAGTGCATCTGCTACAAAAACATTTGTCACTTGCCTTATCATTTTGTGAATTCCTTGAATTTATAAGTAGTATGTTTTCACTTGTGATTTCTCAGAAGTAATTAATGTGTTATTTATGAGGTGCTGGGGTTTATTGTGAACGTGAGAGACCAGAGGTACAGTAATGCGAAAACTGAGGTACTTTAGCGCATAATGGCTAACATCATTTGTAATGCACTTTCAAACAGGTTAACTCAAATATAAATATAGTAAGTAATTTAAAATACCAGAATCACACTGTATGTTCTAAGGCCTACTCTATTTTTAAAACATTTCTACTCTAATGGACCTGTCGTCGCATTCGTAGGATTTCATAGTCTGGTTGATCTCCCACTTTCCTAACCCATTGGTAATTTTATTAACAAAAATACATCATCATTACAAAGATAGAAGTGTTGTATTTTTAATTACTCTCATTATGTTTTATAATAAAAACTGTTATCAAGACATTTTGGTTTCTATACGAATAGATGAGTTATACAACGGTGTTCAAACTATTACACCAGAGTTTTTTTAGTGCTCTTTTTAAAAAAAATAATTCACTCCACATTTCTTCAGAAATTAGTAATTGAATGTTTGAACTTGCAAAACTGAAATACAAAAACAGCTTGAAGTCTGCACGTCAACAGTGTGGCAATGTGCCAGACTCCGTGTCATGTTCTGTTAACAGTAACACTGTGAACAAAAAAGAATTGTTTGCAGAGATGTACTCATAAAATTATTGAGATAAGAATTGCCGTCAATAAACGTCCATGTTAAATGGTTAATCTCACCAGGAAACGCCAGACATGCGAACGTGTAATTTCTGAATTTTGGAGGAGGATACAGATTTCCAGGGCACATCCGCACAAATTAAGCACAGAAACTCCACAGTGTATAGGGGCAAGAAGCCTTCTGATGCAGGTTGTCACGTGCGTAGTGTGTTGATTAATCATGATTTGAAATTTTCGAAAGGAGTATAACGCAGGGTAAAACCAAGTGGGAAAAAAATTAACAATGCACAAAAACAATTCATGGTGTGAATAGATATTTTTCACAGTTTCACTGTACTTATACACAATCATTTTCACATGGTTTACCATTGTTTGCATTAGAGTATCACGCTATCATGATGATTATGATATATAACTGAATGACCTTCTGTTTATACCGTATGGTGGTTTTGATCTCAAAGAGCTCCTTAAAGCTTTTAAATGCAAGATGTGGCACAATTCATTTACCACTGCAGTTCAGCTGGATCTACAGCACTACACAGCAGATCTGATAGAGAAATGAGAACTTAATTTACCAATTGAAATGAAGGCAAACTCTAAGTTGGCTAAACTGTGCAATTCAAGAGTGGAGTTTAGCCAGGACGGTAGGGTTAACACCCCTGCTCTAATGAACAGTGCTATAAGATGTATTTAATGACCAAGTAATTAGGACCTCCGCTTAACATATGATGCAAATTATGGCAATACACTGGGATGTTAGTATGGAAATTCCAAAGAGTGACACCTATTTGTCCACCAATACCACTGACAAGTTTTCCTTGGAGGTATCTCATCCTAGTACCAGAAACAGCTTGAGCTAGATTTTCTGAGATCCCCGAAAAAGTCTGGTATTGTTGCTGTACTTTCACCATGTTATACCAAACGTAAATGGTCATAAGGAGGAAAGAGAGAAGACATTGTAAAAACATTAAATAATGTGGACATGCAGAGACAGCCATGGCTTGAGAATACTGTATCATCCACATCATACAGACTGGTTCTTAGAATACCTGAGGTGGTCAGAGTGCATGTGGCTTATATATATTAAATCTGCATTGCAAAGTGTTTCTAGGTAATTTGCAGGGGGTTCATGCAGAAGCCACCATCCTCTTGCAAAAGCAGGGCCTGTTAGCCAGGGGTCAAACAGCATTCTCTTACTCCCCAATTTCAGCTCCATGCATGCATGTGTTAGATAGGTAATCTGAAAAAAAAACAAGTACAATTTCAGCAGTTTTGTAAGCTTCTGTTTAGCGTGACTGCAAATGTGTAGTTTTTTTTCAGAAAATAAAGGATTTTTATGCTTAAGAACACAATAGTTGTAGGCAATAATTTTATCGCACTCTCCTTTTTATATGTTAAAGATATATGCTTTATTTCACATTATTTTGTAAAGAAGCATAGAGCTAGAATTGATGTTTGTATAAGTTACGTTTAGTTTAAATGTTACAGGGTTAGACTGATTTTATTTTCTGTAGTATGGTCAAACGTCTGCATACAGTAAAGCAGATGTTCTTGGGCTTAATGGTATGTAAGATGAGATTTGAGCATATTTGACAATAAGTCTGCATATCTGACAAATATAAATCATATTTATTAGTGCACCTTTATTTAGCATTTTCTTAAATTTACCACCTTAAATAAGATCAACATATGAATGTCACATCTTCTAAAATATTTGCTGATGTGCGACATTGATAACGCACCAACACTTCTCCATATTCAAGCTCTTCTGGAGTCCGAGGGTCAGACAGCCAAGGTTCAGGAGGACTCAGTTCAATGAGCTGAATTCCCCCACTTTCGTTAGTTTCAATGGCTGCACAAGAACAATAACAGCACAGGCGGCACAATTTAACAAAATAAAATTAAACGGAACACAAAATAAAAACAGCAACAATTATCATAAGAGGACAAATGTATTGTATGCTTTAAAAAAACATACAGAATCGAAATACTAAGATTGATTTACTTTCGGCTTGGGTTTATTCATAATGAAATCTTGCAATTTATAGCAAATATGAACAGAATCATTACAAACACGAGGACCGGTTTTGTGGGATTTACAGATCAAAGCAATGATGGTTTCGTTATGAACAGTTGTATGTGCAGTTCCACTGCTTAAAACTGTAACTCCGCACGTAGCAATTATAAGTATTGTATGAGAATTGTGCTATTGCATAAAGTACGCGAGAATTACTACCTCGTAATTACGAGATAAGGCCGAGGATTTTTTCCCCCTTAGTGCCAGCAATGTGCTTCTGTATATTTCAGAGACCACCACAGAATAAGATATTCAACTAGTCTGTTCTATACGAGGTTGTAAGATGACTGACAAAAATATGAAGGAGAAAATGAGCAGTACCAAGTTCCTCTTGTGTAAAGCTGTCCGGAGGGTTCACATATTTCATGGTGGCGACATTGAGCTTCCAGTTGTGTTTGGTACAACGTACTGTTCTTTTAAAGAAAAGAAATGGAAACCAAAGAAGGAATGAATAATGATGATAATAGTAATTAGATACCAGTGCAACAAGTGTTTAATGGGTATTCATTGTAAGGCATCCAAATGGCAACAGCTTAGTTCAGAAAGTGAGTTGAATGATTGGGCAAAAACTAACTGAAATTCTAATGCTATGAGGCAAACAGGTAAAGAGAGGACAGAAACAGTAACAGTGAATATTAATAGTACTGATTACTCTGTCATAACAAATTAGTATGGCTGTAGAATTGTGGAGTTGTGTAATGGAGTGGAAAAGCATGGCTGCAGATTGAGCAGCCCTGAAAATCTGATTATTACAGCTGTTACTAGTGACCACATAGCTGGTTTACTGAAGTATAACAGGAAAGCAGGAATCTTTTCTATATGAAGTGAAATGGATATGTCTTAATCGAAACAAAATACCAGTTGTGCAATTTTAGGGGCGAGTATTTTATTCAATAAAAACACAAACACTTAACCTTTCAGCTAAATCTTCTATGTCTTTCATAAATATTCCCCCTTGATGTTTACATTGGTTCTTGCATGCCCGGAAAGACTGCTTATCCTTGTAGATGATGTAACATCTGCCATCTTCTTTACTTCTCACAAAGTTGATGCCTTCTTTAAGTGCAGAGGCAGCATTATGGTCTAAAGTCAAAACAGTCTTTGACGTCTGGGCCATGTGTAGTACTGTAAAATAGTGTTAAACATATCATGGGTAAGGTTATGTTAATTAATGCAGTCATTAAAGATATTTAAAATAATAAGGAAACTTTAGTCTACAAAAGTTTTAGCTTTATTGTATTTTTCTACCCTTCCAAAAAATTATCATTTTTTCTTTAATGCTGTCTTGACAAGAGGGACTAGAGTATTTGCTTTATGTGAGATTAATTTGAGCAGCCTACTGCTACCAAGAATTGACTATTGGTCAAGCAATCTGTGACCTGGAGATTGTGACCGTGATTACAAAATGAGAACAACAGTCTTAAAATCATAGTGGCAAATTATGAAATTGCAGCAGCAGCAGCTATTTAATTTAACATTACGGGTTAAGCATTCATTGATTTTTGCCAACACCCTGGAACATGACTTGCTTTTACAGGTTTTACATTAACTCACCATAAAAAAAGGTACAGTTACAGTGCTGTCACATGCCTTGATAAGTTTTGCCCTTTATTGGTTTACATCACAAAACAAGTGCTTGAGTAAAGATACACCCACAAAGGACTCCTACTGAACCTCAAACTCAATGAATGAAAAACGTCTGCTTTTATACACTTCCTTTGAAACAATGAGTGCCAAATTTCCTGCAGCTGAGGATTTTACTTCGATAAGGAAATACATCTTACTATTTTGTCCATGCTAAAATAAATGTTATTCTATCCAGCCTGAGACATCTTGTCCAAAATAGGCTCAATGTGTCTGGGCTCACTACGGATGTCATACATCTGTCCTACACTTATATATACTTTAATATGCTGTTCCTACATACAGTATTGTATGTGCACTACAACATATATTTTATGTATATTCTTATTACTGTTCAACATTTATTTGTGCTGCAAAAATGTAATAAAACACTTCAAATTGACTTGTAATGTGTTTAAAGTGCCTTTGACACTTCATAATTGAGTTCTCTAACTGGAGATTTGGGAACTTTTTCTTTTAAATTGAATGAGAATGTACTTTTTGCACCAACTCTGACAGTTTTACAGAGCCATCCTCAAGAGCATTCTGACTGGCAATGGATTTGCCTACTCCAAACTGAGGCATTTTAGTTTGCTCTGCAGAGAGAGTCACTGGCTGTCATCTGCCCTCCGTTGATGAGCTGTACAACTCCAGAGCAAAGAAAGAGGCAGAAGAGATTGCTGGTGACCCCTCTTATCAGGAAGGTGCCACAGGTCTATTGAAACCAGAACCACCCAGCCTCGTTCTTAGGGCTCTTTTTGCTCAATCAGAGTTCCTACATGTACTGTGTGTATACTGTCTTATTGATGTCTATTAGTTTTGTTTCTGCTGTGTATGGTAGTTGTAGAATGTTTTTGCAGCACCCAATACACCAGCGTAAATTCCTTGTACAAGATTTGGCGAATAAAGGTGATTCTGATTTTGTTTCTGATTTTGAAAATTTAAAAAATATATTTACATTAAGAAAGACTTGCTTTATGTCTATAGATATCTTTCTGCTTCAAAAACATTTCAGCTGTTCAATTTAATTGCTTTATTCCATGTTGAAAATAGAAGTAGGAAAATGCAACATTTCGGCTTTGGAGCCCACCTGAACTAGTACAATGTACTACAGTATACGTGAAAATACTCTTAGCATAAGCTGGTAAGTGTTTGGTGAAAGGAGGTCCTTATAAAGGTACTGAGAGATGAAATAACATTAATTGTAACATTATAGATACCAGCTACCATGGCCTGTCCCAAGCCCGTTTTCTCCATAGAAAGTCCTTGTTCTATTTCTGCAACTTGGTAATTGAAAAAGATGATAGTTTTCCACAGCCATATATTCTTTATGAGCCTATGTATTAAAAACGTTTAATATTTAACATGGTGTCCCACTAAAAAATGTTGTGACATTAACATAATACTGTCCTTAGTGTGGAGTATGCAAGGACGGGAGACAGAGATTTCTAAATATCTCTTTGCAATCCACTACAATAGAGGTTGTGAGTCAGTGTGTGGGGGCAGCCATTTCAGAGAAACTCTTCACAAACATCTGTTAACAGTAGAACAACTATGGGAAATTTATATATTTTATGTACCGTACCTCAGAGTTAGTTTCTGAATCAAATTTAAATGACTTGTTTTTGGAAACCTGTGATTTAATGGAGACTTTTGCTTTTCTGGACACTCCACTCAAAGACTCCCCTCCACCACCACCACCAATGTGCAGCCCCTACTGGATGCTGCGACGGCAGCCATAGTGCTCCAGAACGCTCAGCCCACACCAGCTCTCAGTGGGGAGGAGAGCAGTGTAATGAAGCCAATTCATAGAGGGGGATTATTAGGAGGCCATGATTCGTAAGGGCCAATGGGAAATTTGGCCAAGATGCCCGGGTTATACCCCTAATCCTTTCGAGAAACGCCCTGGGATTTTTAATGACCACGGAGAGTCAGGACCTCGGTTTTATGTCTCATCCGAAGGACGGCGCCTGTTTGTTTTCATATTTGGGAGTTTTGTTTACTACTTACTGTACCAATTTGTATTATTTAATACATAAAATGCAAAACTTAAAAGGCAAATGCCAACATATTTAAGAGCTGAAAATGGTCAAATGCTTAGCATCAATCCTATTATTAAGTCAATGAACAGTTAGATTGTGGAACTGAGAGCCTGAATGACCAATCACCAACAGGAGTGTGTACCTCCTGAAAATTTTCAGAACCTTGGTACATGACTCAGTCTTGCTGTGAGTTTGGATGTCTTTAAAGAAAAAGAAAGAAAGGAAATGAAAGGACGTTAACTTGTTAGAGAACCTGTCCATTAGCTAGCTTAAGGGAAAAGGGCTGAGCCCCTTTTAAGTAAAACCTACAAGATGAGGCTTGTCAACTTGCAACCTTTGCAGTATACCCCATTATACAGTTTTGCCTACAGGCATTTGTTTTGACAGGATTGACTTAAAGGCTGCTAAGATATGCCCAAAGTAAACGTTTTTTTTTGGGTGGTTTATATGTTCAGATCGCTGGAGCCATGCCTGTACATTTAATGTCCAGGACTTCAAATTTCTACTTAAATTTCTACATTAACACTGGTGTAATGTTCTCAAGTGTTAATTAAATATGTGATGCAGTTACCAGAATTGCAATTCATCTTTTTGAATTTGTTTTTTTTTTAGTCTGATTCTTTGACCTCTGTTTTTTTTAAAGTAGTTGCTTTCATGGCACGTCAGCACAAGGTGTGCGAGTACAGGATTACTTTTACATGGTCTGTTAGCCCCTGGCAATGGAATGATTGCCTGTGGCATGTAAATGAGTAACAACCATAGTATCCAAGTAATCCGAGACTCTTCTTCACCCATTTCTTGAAAGAAACCAGGGTGTCGGTTCCAACAATCAGGCTGCGGCCTTCGAGACTACAAAATGTTTTGTATACAAATAAAACCCCCTGGTCTTGGCTTTAAAAGCTCTTCCTCCCAGTTTCCTCCGGTCCTGTGATTCATGTTTGTTTTGGTTCTGAAGGCAATTGGGTTAACTGTCAATGTCCTTGAGAACTTTAAATACTTGAGTCAGGCAGTGTGTCTGTTTCATGATTGTCTCTCTCATATGTCCTCCATTTTATAATTCAAAACAACCAGGTTCTGTAAACATTGTAATATTGCTAGGTCTGTTGGTATTTTTGGTAGGCTTTCTGTTGTTGTAGCATACACCTGAAGAAGGCTCCATGGCCGAAACGTGTTTTCTTTCTTCTTTTTCAGCATGGAATAAACCTATTACTTGTTCCTTTACAATAGGTAGCTCATTTGTTTTTCAGCCTTTGATATCTCTAAACTATTGAAATGCCACCTGCTACCTATAATTCAACAGACTAAAAACAGTGTTTGCCTAGCTGCTGGTGACCATAGAGGTTTTCTGGTAAATTACTGTTGTTAAGGCTAGTAAAGTATAAATATTGTTTCCTAGAACACGGCACAAAACAGATAGAAAGGGACAGAGTAGAGACATATCGTCTATGTTGTAAAAAGGAGGATTTAGCTCTGGGTCATAGTTTTTTTTATGTAGGACTCAGGATATTTTTTGATAAGTTGGCCTGTCAAGGTATTGCATAGTATTTTAGTGAATTCGGGTTCGTGCAGAAAAAGAAACCAGACAACGCTCTTGTTTGGCTCACAAACAGCTTTCATTAAACCTCCGCCACCCAGCTATGGGCAAAAGAGACCAACTCGAAGGCAAGGTTGACACATACACCGGGGGGGTAAACAGGACACGTATGCAGAGTCAGGGTGGTTACACACTAACTAACACAGGTAAACACTAAACAGCTGTTAACACAAATGTGATTGGGATTATTTACATTAGCTGAGTGACCACTCCCAGCCTGCCTTGCGGCGCATGCACTACCTGGATGCGCCTCGTCATCGTCCTTCGATGAAGGCGCTACAGTATTTTGGGCTGTAGGGCCAACATTCTGGCTTTCTGGTCTAACAGAATCTAGATCTGTGGGAATCAGTTTTGTATGTAGTGTAATGTTTAATGTTTTGCTAATGTTTATTTGTAATAAATATCTGAAGTTTTGACTTAAATTGTATTACTCTTTTTCCAGAGCTATAACTGAGAGTATAAAGAATTCCCATGGCTTTCTTACCACGTGAGGTTCTTCTACTCTTATCAAAAATTTCTAATCAAATTCTTATCTGCCGCTAAGGTTCAATTTTGACATTTACAGTTTACAGTAACTAATTGCTCTACTGTTCTCCTTAACTCCCTTAACTTGTAACCATACTCATAGACATTGAAACCCTCTAGCAAATGACCATGAGTAATAATTCCATTATCATTTTTGGATATTTCTGCAAAGTTTTTTTAGGACACGACCAATAAACAATTCTATTAGAATTCAATTGACACCTCAATATGTAATTATAAAAAAATGATGTAAATGTATAAAATAATTTTTAGCTTTTGGTAGTGTATATTGAGCAAGTTCAAGAGATATCAAGAACATGATAATGAACAGCATAATAATA